TGACCAAGACTGTATCCCATTTCATCTCGGAATGTTATGAAAATGATTGGTCGTAGTGCTCGGAGTTATGGCTCGACCCATTATTCCAGGAGTAAGCGTATGAAAGGGAAAATGGATAACTTGACTTTGTTGAGCTCCTCGGTCAAATTCTCTTATCACAAGAACAGAACTATCACACGATGCCACGAAAAACAAAAAGCAAAACAAAAAGAAAGAGAAGATCAATTAAATAAATAAAAAGGTACAAGAAAAATAACAAAGAATTACAAAACAAAGAGAAACACAAGAAAATAAAGTCAACACTAAAATGAAATATTCTACTTGCCTTTCACGGTAACAACGCCAAATTTGTATAAGCAATTTATATTTTTCAACTGGATGAATCCCGACCTCGGGTCGATCTATCGAGCAAAGTGGGTCAGAATCTATAATTTGTATCGACACACAAAAAAAAAGGTCCTAACGTTCTAATCATGTAAGTTTGGGAGGATTATCTAACAACTATATATAACTAAAAAATTGTATAAATAATGATTATACAAAGAGAATAAGGTCTGGGCGCCATGAATAATCTTATCGAGTCTCAAATATATGTGGAACACATAAATGTTCGGCCTAATGACTAAGGTTCTCATCCAAACGCCTAACGATTCACTTCCAATAACTTTCGTAATAAATGATTGAATATAAATGAATAAACAATAGCACACACTCGAGCCTAGAGATCTGCCCTGATACATTTATGAACACGAGTCTATACATAGACAAACACGTACTTCAGTCAATGAAACCCATAAAAGATACAATTACGAATACGTCTACTCTATTCGAACCATGATCGGATACCCTCTCCTTCCGGATCCTAAGTTATCTATTTAGACTAGACATGACCACGGACCGAACCGGCACCCCGCGAACCGGCCTCCTAAGGGCCGGCTCGTTGAATCGGAACCGTAGGGCCGCGATTCGGTCCCAATTCCATTTTTTTTATTTTTGTCCCGCCGAGCCTGGCCGGGCCGGGTCAAATTCTTTGTTTTTTTTAAGGGCCGGACTGGCCCGTGAACCGCCGGGCCAGTTTTATGAACTGACACTTGATTCTTAGCGGACCGGTCGCGGTCCAGGTGTTGGAGGACCCGTGGCCTGGCGGGCCGGGCCGGACCGGGCCTTGACCCGGCACCTGGTCACGTCTAATTTAGACTGTCTAATTTAGACTATATGATGATCAAACAACTAATCAATGTAATCAAGCAATTCGAAAAGTTATGAACACCACAGTTTATATAACTTGTTTTGAACCATGTGTATGGACTTGAATTGAAGAATCAATGACCAATCAATTGAATAAATAAAAGAAAAATCATAAAAATAGTACAGTAGACACATAATCATTCATACAAATATACAATTTTTTATCGTAAAAAACAAGGAAAAATGTAGAAGGCAGGCTCTTTCTCCACCGCAAATACTTAAGTGTGGTGTGTCAAGCAATAATAAAATGAACATGTTCATTTTTATATGTAACATATAATGATAAAATAAACATGTTACATAATAAAATAAATATGTTCATTACATATTATATAATAAATAAATATATTCATTTAAAACGAACATGTTCATTTTATTATATAATATGTTCATTTATTATTGTTTGACACACTGTGTCCACACGATAGTAGCACTACTCTATCCACCCCGAGACGCAAAGCGCTGCCCAATCACATCTCGCCACGTCTGGACAAGACGTGAATCGCTTGTACCTTGTGTGTGGCCCTATATTAGATAAAAAGGTCATAAATAAAACTAAAATTGAGATGGGCGGTGGTGTGGGAATGTCCAGACATCATCAAGTGCGGACATGTGGCTACATGGCGGGCCCCGGGGCCCGCACTGAGAGGTTCATCGAGATCTTCAAAGTTTTAAATCTTGTGCAGCGCGGGTCTACGGTAAGGCCTCGATACCCACTCATGAATGGGTGTACTGTCGGCTGCGAGTACAGTCGGGGCCCCGCCCCGTAAGGGTAGCGGTCGGTTTTGATGATGGTTGGTCTAGACGTGGCCAGGTGCCGGTTTCGGGCCCGGCCCGGCCCGGCCCGTCGGGCCACGGGCCCTCAAACAGTCGAACCGCAACCGGCCCGCTAGGAACGAAGGGCCGGTTCGTAGAACCGGCCCGAACCGCCGGTTCACCGGCCCGGC